CTGATTTCATTGAATGTGGCAGAAAAGAAAATGATCTGCTGGTTGATGTAGGGGTCAGAGCAGGAGAGAGCAACAATAGCAGCATGCTCACAGACAAAGTTATTAATGATGTTATTTCCCCGGAAGGATAATTTCAGTAAGAAGTAAGTGAGTGTGAGGGAACATGTCAGCCCCCAAAAGTATGATACACCCACTAACAGGGAACATAGCTTAGAGGACATCACCACTGTGTAGAGGAGAGGGTTGCAAACTGCCACAAATCGGTCATAGGCCATCACTGCCAACATGAATGTTTCTGTCACCACAAATAGGCAGGCTAAGAAGAACTGCAGGATGCATCCTGTGAAGGAGATGGTTCTGTCTTCCACTATCAGGTTTTCTAGGAGCTTGGGAGTCACTACACTGGAGTAACAGAAATCAACAAAGGACAGGTGACTGAGGAAAAAGTACATGGGGGTGTGGAGTCTGGGATTGACCCTGATGGTCAGGATCATGCCCAGGTTCCCCAGCACAGTGATGGTGTAGATGGCCAGGAACACCAGGAACAGGGGCACCTGGAGGTCTGGATACTCAGAGAAGCCCAGGAGGGTGAAGGTGACTCTGGAAGTCTGATTTTCTTGGGTTCTGGGGAAAAAAAGGAAAGTATGTTCACAGAAGCAAGTAGACACAGTAAAATGAGGCAGTTTGGAGTCTTACTGTTTACCCATAAAGTATGTCATAGAGAATGATTTCTATTTGTCATTCAGATGATCAGACTTCTATCTTTCCAGAGAACTGAATTCATGGGAAGTGTCAGTCTAATTTTTGCATCAATCTCAGTTTACTGAAAATTTTTTCTTGGAGGGCACAGTCATCATGAATTCCAACAAGCTTCCCCTGCCTCATCTGTTTAACTCTGAGAACTTGGAATCCATGTACAAAAATTAAGAATCATAAAATTGCTTTTTTATTGTTTTTTCCATGGCTATTTCTGAATTTCACTTTCCAGTGAGCTTCACATGTTGTCACACATTTCTTTCCACATATTCTAGATCTTTCCTGCAGAAGAATAATTCATAGTTACTAAAAAGTATAGATGATTGTATCTGTTCTCAGTGTGTTACAGTTTAGATATTCAGGATAATTTAAATTGTGACAGATTAATTACAGCATGTCCTGACTTTGTTTTCTACATTGAAGTTTGTTCTACATCATCTTCAGGTGGTCTTATTTGTGTACTTCAAAACTTCCAAAAATGAGATATTTCTTCCTGGGCAATTACAATAGCTGGTTAATTTTATTTCTCCACTGAATTGTTTTATAAAACCACATAGTCCTTCTAATGCTCTATTCTCCTAGTTTCTTTATTTCATTCATTAATTTTATCCCCGCTTAACTCATTCTCTTAACCCTGGCAATGCCATTAAGTATGTCATTATAAATATTTGGCAATCCTGAAAAATATCAATTTCATATAATATCTGCCACATAGTACAGACTCCAGTATCACACACTGAGTAAGTGAATATGTGGATATGTAAACAAAGGTGTTCTCCACCCGTGTTATATGTACATGAGATGAAAGCCTATTCTAATGTTGAAAATGTTAAATTGACTGCTTGATCAGAGTGGCAGTGTAAAATCAAAATGCACTGAGACACATCTTGAGTCTTACAAACACATAGCTGCTTTGAACCCCTATAGGATATGATCACCCTAAATTAGTGTAAAGTAAGGACATTTACAAACGTAAAAAAGGGCTGCGATGGATTCTTTTTCTCTGACCTACCTTGTCTCTTTTCACCATGCCATGCAGATATTCTCAGAACCACATCGTGATGGCTTAATGACCTCTGAACAGGCACTGGAATGAAGGTGGCTCATGCCGTGAGTTCACGCTAAGAATTTTATGCCGGTGAACTTTACACATTTGATAGCATGCACCAAGTTATGAAATTTCATCCAAGATGATATACATGACTTACGTTTCCTTCATAGGAAGGTATTATTCAATGTTCCTGCAGTTTTTCTTCTTCAACTGTTCCTTTAGATTCCTTCAGTTTGATAATTGCAATTTGGTCTCCCACTACACCTATTATTTCTCTATTGTATTTTTAAAAAATATAACACAGAACATACTGAGTCTAAATTCCATGAATAACACACTCTTTTACTGTTTTAAACTTTTTCCAAAGCGCTGTATTTTTTTTCTCTAAGTGTGCCTAACACATTTTGAGAAGCTCAAGGTTGAACGGAAATCATTGCTGTCAAAGACAAATACGTCTTCTGATACATATTCAGCCATTTATTACTTTCGCATTTTTTCTACATGCGTAGCTTTTCATCCATCTCCTATCTTTTTTGTTCATATTTATGGGACTTGGACTATGGTTTCCAATCTCCTGCTTAGCCCAAGGAAGGGTCACCCGTGGTCAGCTAACTTGAGGTTCACAGTACTATATACATGTTCCTTCCTTCCTAGTGATGCTGCCCTAGTTTTCCCATTAGGTGTCCTCTATCTACTCCACATGTCATACGCATTTTAGAAGCCAAACAATTGTAAGGCTACCCCTTGTTTTCTTTATTCTTCTGAGAGTTAATCTAAGAAACAATGCCTAAAATTGCAAACGATTCAGTATAACATATAATTCTTATGACATATTAAAACCAAAGTCTGGGTGCATAAAAAGGAGACTATTGTGATCCAGAAAGAAGAAAATATTTTCTGGTAATAGAGGCCAATTAATAATAAATCCATTAAAAGATAATCAAACAAATATTTTTACCTTGCTTATTATGTGTTTGTCATGGCAGTTAGATTTGCACATGAGTTTGCCCCCTGCAATCATTATGGGGAAAGATTTTTTCACTTACTAAGAATTGACAACTCACCTCCATGCAGGATGCTTTGACTCCTTCATTTATTGGAGATTTCTTACAGTGGACTCCAGAAAAACTCCTGCTGGGAATTCCACCTTTTTAAAAAATATATAAGAGCAAGCCTGAAGACAAGTAGTAGGAACCTACTGGATTTTTCAATGAATGTTGCCTTTTCTCCTATCTTTTCAAAATCAGCTCTCTGATAACAGAAGGGAAGGGAGATCAAAAAGTTAAATCCTAGCACAAAGTGTGCCACATGTATCTGCCTCCAAGGCCTTGGGGCCTTGGGGACATTAACCCCAGAGAATGTGATTGTCACGCTGCCCGGGAGGCCACATGTTGAGCAATTAGATGAAATAATGCTCCTGTGTGATATTTTCATTTCACAGTAATTTCTCAGATTGGCGAACACTTTTATAGGCAACTTTAATTCCATGACCTTATTTTAAATCTGTTTATCAGATTTTATAGATTCTGTCTTTCAATACCTAGAAAATCAAATGATATAAAATAGGAAGTCAGCTACTGAACTACAATCTAAACATTACTACTTTTAATCTTTATTGGACTTCTGTTTTTTCCCCACTCCTATGTGTGTGTTCATGGATCAGTGTATAGTGGATATAAAGCTCATTCAAGAAACAACAATTATTCTTTTTAAATATTACATTGTATTTAAGCTTTTTGTTATCCAATAAATAGTTATTTAGCATCTATAAATAACTATTTCATTTTCTTCCAGTAAATGTGTTAGCATTATTTTTTTTTTGGTACTTTTTTTTCCAGTACTGGGGATCGAACTCAGGACCTTGCACTTGCAAGGCAGGCACAGGGCTACTGAGCTAAATCCCTGGCATGAATTAGCTATATATTTCAATGGATTTCAAAACTCATTGTAAACTTCATTATAAATATACATGCAAAGATTTCTCAAACACTACTAGTAACTATTCAACAGAATATTAAATGATTTTAAATATTATGCCTGGTGGAATTTATTCCTGGAATGCGAATATAATTCAACATTTAAAAACCAATCCTTGTTTTCAGGTGCAGTAGTACTGAGATTACAGAATTCCAGTCAGTACTCAGGTGGCTGAGGCAGGAGGATTACTGTGATTTCAAGGCTAGTCTAGGCTACACAGTGAACTCAAGGACAGTTTGAACTAGAAAGTGAGACTCTGTCTCAAAACAAAACAATTTATGCCATATGACATAAAATTCAATGTAACAGTCAATGGAATAAAGAAAAAAACATGTTTTTCTGCAATTGGTGCAGAAAGAAAATTTGAAAATAGTCAGCACACTTTCATGATAAACATACTAAAAATTTAAACACACATGGAAATTTTGTCAAATAATAAAAACCATCTATAAAAAAATCCCACATCCAACTTCATATTCAATAACCAAAAACTGAAGGTTTTCCTCCAAATATCATGATCCACACAAGGATACTTGCATTCAACATTTCAACCCAGGATAGTGTTGCCAGTTGTAGCCACAGGCAAGAAAAAAATTAAAGAAATTCAAATTAAAAAAAGAAGTTAAATTTACTCCTTTTCAGAGATGGCATAACCTTATATAAAAAAGTTACTAAAGATTCCAAACACATATGAGTGTGCCCACATACACAGCCACACATGTACACACACCTACAACACACACACACACACACACACACACACACACACCCACCCACACACACACCCATACAACCAATAAACTAGTTCAAGCAAAATTCCGGGACTCAAATTCTATATGAAAACAACATTTGGGTTTGAATAACATCAAGTAATAACTTGAAAATAACATTAAGCAAATAATTCATAAATAACAGCCTCAAAAAATACATAGGAATAAACTTTTTTTTCCATTAACGTTATTGGTACATTTTATGTATAAAATACAGTCTCATTCATCATTGGAATCTTGTACCTTTACAGGATGTATCTTGGTTCTTACTTTTTTCCCTTCACCTACAAACCCTTACCCCCTCCATCCTTCCCTATTTGCAAAGACTTTGTTTCCATTATTTTTTACTTTTCTCATATTTTTTCTTTTCCCTTCTCTCCTTTCTCCTACCCCTCCCACTTCCCCTACTCCTTTAGACCTTCTCTTCCTATTATGCAATATCAATTATACATTGTTTTAAGTACAATATCAAAATTTAGAGGACATTACCACAAATTTTAACAGAATTTAAAAGGATATAGAAAGCATATTACAAAAATCTTTTTTGAAATAAATTTGACAACTTCTAAGAAGTACCTTGGAAGAGAAATTAATGAAACTGACTCTGGAGAAAATATAAAATTTGAATAGCAGCTATTGAACAAAGTATATTGCTAGCTTGAAAACCTATCTATATGACAACAACAGGCTCATATACATTTTAATGGATGAATTATATCAAACATTTAAAGCAGAAAAAAGAAGAAACACTTCTCCCCTCATTTTAGGAAATCAGCATTGTGCCAAGTACTAAAACTGGATAAAGATAATAGAAGAAAAATGTATGAACATAGATAAAAATTTGTTTAACAAAACAAACTATTAGAAGTCAGATCTGGCAGAAGGTAGAAAGTGGTTTTATTATAGGGATGGCAGTGTTGGTTCAGCATTGGAAGATCCACCTGCATAAGTCATCATTTTAATAGAGGAAAGGAAAAAGCCATATGATCCTGTCACTAGTTGGAGAAAAAGTATTGGACTAAATTCCATAGCTGTTCTTGGTAAAAGCTATTGGGAGACTAGAAAT